GGGCTGCCACAGCTGCAGAAAGCCTGCAGGGGAACAGTTGCTAAGCTATGAGTGCTTCAGCAACCAAGCTCAGCATATTCACAGAACCTACCAAGCGTGGTCCTTTCTGAGCCCTGGGATAGTGCGGTTGCTAGGGAAGCATCTTTCCAAAGGAGGTGGTTGCTAGGGAGACTTCTAAGCTTGGTGATCTCAAGGATCTCCATGCTATGGACAAAGGATTCCTTAGCAACAAGGCCCAGGCTGTTCAGAAAAGCTTCCAAAAAAGGCCTTTTGTCCTGGTCCCTGTGATCATTTGAGAAGCGTCACCTACAGGAATACAGTGACACCAGCGGGCCAGCAATGTAGAACGTCTGCTGGAGCCCTTGGTGGCTTCCAGAGATGAAAGGGAGCCACCCTTTAGAAGGGGGGCTGGCAGGTTCAGAAAGCCTTCAACGCCTGCTGACTTCCCTGGGGTAACGTCCTCTCTAGCAGCTGGGGCTCTGCCCGTGGTTACTAGGGCAGTGGGCGCCCCTACCCCACGACAGGGTGGCAGTTTGTGCCTTGGAGTGGGTGGAACAAGCCTGGCAAGGAGTGGTTTGTAATTTACATCAGGAGAATGCTGCCCCAGCACCAGCCCCAGGTGGAAGGCTGGCAACAGATTCTAGAAGGGTCAGCCCACTTCTAGTTGCTAGGAGACCACTTCCTTGGCAACTCAGGAGTACGCTTCCTCAGCAACAGGGGCGCCTGTGTCACTGCCTGCGTGACCTACTCAGCAATGTCGGTGCCGAGGACACTGGCAGCAGCAGGAGCAACAGGGGTCAAGACGGTTACCGGGGAGGACTGGCTTCCCTGTTAACAGGAGGGGGTGGCCTGTGGTTGCAGGGAATGGTGTCCTCCCAGCTGGAGGCGGGCACGGTGAGAGATGCTATTTCCTTGGAGACAGAGGGCAACTGAGAGCGGCTATGTGACATCATGTCATGGGGAGAGGCACTGGCTCCCACAACACAAGAGGCGCTCAGGGGGCGCAGGTTCTATAGCCCCGAAGAGCAGGACTTCTGACAAAAAGAGAACTAGAGTTGCTAGGGATATTGTTTCCCTAGCAGAGAGGGCGGCTGAGTTGCTAAGCAACCATTCCCCTAGCAACAGAGGATGACCTACCACTACCAAAGCATGGCATCCCCAGCAGCCAGGAATAATCTGGTTTTGGGGGTGACATTTCCATGGCAATACGGGGTGGTCTGTGGTTGCTAGGATACCACCTTCCTTTTCTAGCAACAGAGGGGGTCTCACCATACTGAGGGGTGACAAGTGCTAGCAACAGGGGGCAATGAATAGGTACCAAGAACACTGGACCCCTACTGACAAGGGAAGGCAGGTGGTGGTCGCCGGAGGTGACCGACCACTGGCCACGTGTGGTGGCCCTGCCCTGCTCCCCACTGCCCTCCCTGCTGGGGGCAGGGCCAGCCTAGCAGGGCCAGCCCTTGGTGCCAGGGCCTGCTGAGTCTTGGGAAGCCTCCCTCCCTTCGCCTGACCTGCTGGGGGGTGGGCATTGGAGGGTGGGGCCGCCCCCGGCCCGGGCCTTGGCGGCCACAGGGTAGGCCCCAAAGCCGGCAGCGATGCAGCCGCACTCAGCAGCAATCCAGGCCACGTAGAAGCGCATGCGGAAGGCAAAGAAGACTGGGATCATGTAGAAGAGGCGGGCGGGCAGTGGGCGCGCATAGAAGGCGTCCTCGCGCACGGCCTCCAGTGGGAAGAGATGGGAGGACAGCAGGAAGAGCAGGCCGAAGAGCGGGGCCGGCCAGGCCCGGCGGAGCAGGGGCCGCAGGCTGGGCACGGCCTCCGGGAAGGGCTGCTCCAGCCAGTCCAGGTAGGTGCGATAGCGAAAGAACGGGCCTGCAGGGGCAGAAGACACGGGTGGTCAGAGACTAAGAGGGAGAAGGGGAGGGAGGGAGGGAGACCCAGACAGCACAGACAGAAAGGCGGGACAATGACCCTAGGAGTGAGGACTGAGGTTAAGATAGGTGGAGACAGACAGACAAGACCTTGACCTTGGGAGACCTTCAGGTAAGTCACAGAAGGTAGAGCAGCTGGAGAGATGGTGGGGTGGGGTGGGATGGGGTGGGGTAGGGTGGGGTAGGGACAGGGAAACCCAGGCCTGCAGGCAAGAGGCCCGGCTTTGCCTAAAGAATCCACTGCAGGGAGCTCCCAGCCCAGCAGGCCTGGAAACAGTGGCCCTGGAGACATGGTGGTGCTGCGGCCTAGGGAGGAGCAGATGTGGGTGTGCAAACTTCACATGTTCACAAAAAGCTCACGTGTGTGAGATTCACACACCCATAACAGGCCCATGGGAGAGACAGTCCAGGAGCAGTGGGGACAGTCCGGGGCAGCGGAGCGGACACGGAACACCACGCAACTCCAGGCAGAGAGTGAGCGCGAGGGGCAGAGGCCATGCGTCAGGCAGGCCGCTCACCTGTCATGATCCCCACGTAGCAGTAGCTGTAGCTCAGCGTCTCCATCAAGGAGGGAACTTCGGGCA